GGGTCTGCCTTCGGCTCAGGTCGTGATCCCAGGGTCCTGGGGTCGAGTCCCGCATCTGACTCCCTGCTCTGTGGGGAGCCTGCTTCTCCCTCTGCCTCCCTCTCTCGCTCTCTCTCAATCTGTGCCTCATTAATAAAGAAATAAAATCTTTATTAAAACATAAAACACACCATTTGAAAAAATACACCATTTGATAACTTTATTTATTTTTTCCAAGTATTTTTATTTATTTTTGTGAGAGAGAGCGCGCAAGCGCGCGCGCAGGGAGCAGCGGGAGCCCAACGCGGGGCTCGATCCCACGTACTTAAGAAAAACATTCTAACCTCTTTTAAGCGTAAAGTTCAGTAGTGTTGACTGTATTCACATTGCGGTGCAACCGATCTGCAGAACTTTCTTCTCTTACATTACTGAAACACAATACCATTAAAGTACTCCATTAAGCTAAACTACTCCCAGTAAACGACACCCTTTTTCCTGTTTCGTGTCCTCTTTATGAGCAGTGCATGGCCTGGGAGTTGGTCAGAAACAGTGACCTGTGTTCAGTACACTCTAAATAGCACCCTATATCTCAGGGGGGTTGGAAGCAAAACAAATTATGGTGGTGTGGCAACATCCAGGCCCTGCTCTCCCTTTGCTAGTTTTTGCTCCCCCAGAAATCTGGTCATTTGCTCTTGGCCACTTAATCCATCAACTCATAAATTATCCCAAATCCCACCTTCCTGGACCCTTCTATACCTCCTCATTTATAAATGCATTTAATGTTTGGTGATGTATGCTGGCATCTTCATCTTTTGTGAGAAAGCCACTTACGTGAAGGGATGAGTTGGGGGTTCCAGATCATAGGAAATCAGTCTTTTTTTTTTCCTTAGTAATCTCTACACCCAACATGGGGCTCGAATTCACGACCCCGAGATCAAGAGTCGCATGCTCTATTAACTGAACCAGCCAGGTGCCCCCAAAATGTTTTAAGTTACATAATTTAGGCACAGTGAACACAGATTAAAATTTGGAAAAAGGCCATTGTGGGTGTAGGAAATATATCCTTTTACTTCTGCAATCATCTTTCACCTGACCTCCCTTGTCCCACGATTTCAGACTTCCAACAAAAAATCTCTCCCGGGGCGTCTGGGTGGCTCAGTTGTTAAGCGTCTGCCTTCAGCTCGGGTCATGATCCCAGGGTCCTGGGATCAAGCCCCGCATCGGGCTCCCTCCTCCGCGGGAAGCCTGCTTCTCCCTCTCCCACTCCCCCTGCTTGTGTTCCCTCTCTCACTGTGTCTCTCTCTGTCAAATAAATAAAAATCTTAAAAAAAAAAAAAAAAAAACTCTCCCAAGGTGTGCCTGGCTGGCTCAGTTGGTACAGCATGCAACTCTTGATCTTGGGGTACTGAGTCTGAGCCCCAAGTTGTATGTAGAGTTTAAGAACAAAAATAAATAAAAATAAAGAATAAAAACAAAAAATCTCTTCCAAGAATCCTATAGTATTCACTTATTCATTTGATACATTTCTCCGCTCCCAGGGGCTGAATCCCATCCATAGTTGATGTTGCAAAGTAACTTTGCTTTAAGTTCCAAGATGTGTGTATATGCAGGGAGCCTATGAATTCTCATATTCTTTTTTAAAATTTTTTTTAACATTTAGAGGGTTACCCCCCCCCCAAAACATTTGGTGGTGCTTTTTGTTTGTTTTTAACTCTCTACACCCAACATGGGGCTCAAACTCAGGACCCTGAGATCAAGAGTTGCATACTCTTCAGGTGCCCCTGAATTCTCATATTCTGATGTTGCTCCCTAAAGAACCACTTCCCAGCCTCAGGGATTCTCTTTTTTGACCCATTAAGCTGTCCGGGGAGATTTCCCTAACCTCTATCACTGCTGCTGCATTAATCAACACTCCTAAGGTCTTTCAAGCCTTCAGGTTCCCATTCACAGCAGAAAGCCCCTTCCCACTAACTGCTGCTCCTCCAGGCACTGACAGCTTTCTCCCTCTCCCATGCCCCCTGTCCTCTAAAAATGTAATCAGGAGCAGCTTCTGATCCAATCAGTTTTCTCAATGCTGCCTGCACATTGGAAAGACTCAGGCAGCTTGAATTCTCTACAGTGCCTTAGCCCACTCCCAAAGATTCTGACTCCTAGTGGAGGCCTGGCAGTGGGTACTTTTTTAGCCTCCCCCAATGATTTTAATACACCACCAGGTTGGAGAAACATGTCTCCAATAGTGTGCAGCTATTTATTCCCTCTACTACCTGGCAGGGTGGGGGAGGGGGAAGGTAAGAAAGCCGGCAATTCGGTTGCTGCAGCAGTTAAAGTGCACTTACTGGGGTGCCTGGGTGGCTCAGTTGGTTAAGCAGCTGCCTTCGGCTCAGGTCATGATCCCAGGGTCCTGGAATCGAGCCCCGCATTGGGCTCCCTGCTCAGCAGAGGGCCTGCTTCTCCCTTTCCCTCTGCCTGCCACTCTGCCTACTTGTGCTATTTCTCTGTCAAATAAACAAATAAAAAATCTTTTTTTTTTTTTAAAGTGCACTTACTATAGCCTATGGTAGGAGGCTGTAGTATTATATAGTTCACTTATTTTGTGAGTAAAACAGGCCTTTGAATTGATCCAGGAACCAAAAGACCTTACTATATTCCTTTTCCTTTACAAGCTTTCAAGGAGGGCTTCCTCTACTTTGTCATTCCTAAAATACTGGATTTTTCCTAGAGAGTGAAGATTTATTGAAACACAGAACTTGAACTTAGTTTTTATTTTGGAGTAGTTCTTTCCAGCCTCAGTTCTGGGGAGGCAGGAGGTTGGATTCTCTCAGGCTAAGGAAAATGTTAAAGACCTTTAATCTAACTGCTAGGGCAGGAAGAACCCCCCTAGAAGGGCTTGTATGGAGGAAAGCCCATTTCCTTGATCTTCCCAGCTCTATGCTCTACTCCTTTCAGCATCTCCTTCATAATTAAATTTGATGTTACTTTAAGTTCCTATGGTTTTGAGACTGTGCCTAAAAGGTAAAGGAGGTTACTGATCATTAGAACTGGGGTAAAACCGGGCACCTGGGTGGCTCAGTCGTTAAGCGTCTGCCTTCGGCTCAGGTCATGATCCCAGGGTCCTGGGATTGAGTCCCACATCGGGCTCCCTGCTCGGCAGGAGGCCTGCTTCTCCCTCTCCCACTCCCCCTGCTTGTGTTCCTGCTCTCGCTATCTCTCTGTCAAATAAATAAATAAATCTTAAAAAAAAAAAAAAAAAAAAACTGGGGTAAAACCGTCACTCAGAACCAGACAGGAACCCAATGTCAACAGTGTTCAGGCAGTGTGGAAAAAACCAGTATTTGTTGCTGATTCTGCCCTGGATGTAGTTGAAGTGACCACTTCTTGCCATTTGCAACGATGTGGATAGAACTGGAGAGTGCTATGCTGAGCGAAATAAGTCAATCAGAGAAAGACATGTATCATATGACCTCACTGATATGAGAAATTTTTTCTTTTTAAGATTTTATTTATTTATTTGACAGAGAGAGACACAGCGAGAGAGGGAACACAAGCAGGGGGAGTGGGAGAGGGAGAAGCAGGCTCCCCACTGAGCAGGGAGCCCGATGTGGGGCTCAATCTCAGGACCCTAGGATCATGACCTGAGTCGAAGGCAGACGCTTAACGACTGAGCCACCTAGGCGCCCCTGATATGAGGAATTCTTAATCTCAGGAAACAAACTGAGGGTTGCTGGAGTGGTGGGGGGTGGGAGGGATGGGTTGGCTGGGTGATAGACATTGGGGAGGGTATGTGCTATGGTGGGTGCTGTAAATTGTGCAAGACTGTTGAATCACAGATCTGTACCTCTGAAACAAATAATATATGTTAAAAAAAAAAGATAGCAGGAGAGGAAAAATGAAGGGGAGTAAATCGGAGGGGGAGAGGAACCATGAGAGACGATGGACTCTGAGAAACAAAGTGAGGGTTCTAGAGTGGAGGGGGGTGGGAGGATGGGTTAGCCTGGTGACGGGTATTAAAGAGGGCACGTTCTGCATGGAGCACTGGGTGTTATACGCAAATAATGAGTCATGGAACACTACATCAAAAACTAATGATGTAATGTACGGTGATTAACATAATATAATAATAAAAAAAGATTACTGGGGTGAAGCAAAGAACCTGCTTCATTGTCATGCCTCCAAACCCTCAGACTCTCCTTCCTCCATGCCCCTGCTTGGATAACTGTAGCCAGGGTGACCATGGCTGAAGATGTTGCTTGCCTATGCCACATTTCTGCTCAAAATGATATAGAGCTTTAAAAGTGAGGTCATTCAGACAAATTGCTTTAAAGTGAGACAACCAAAACTAAGGCTAAGTAATTTGCACTTGGTCACCCAGCTGGGATTTACAGAGCTACACTGTGACTCTGCATTTCCTTTTTTGCTGCTTTACACACCCCCAATATCATTCATAACTTAAAGACTAGAAGACCCAAAGCTCAGAAGGGACAAATTAATGGCTCTGCACACATTAAAAGCGCGAGAATAAGGAATCATGAACCTCTCTCAATGCTGCCTTTGAACCCACAATAACTTCTCCCCCAATTTTTTGCAGCTCCCCCCTTCCTACTTTTACCCTAAAAAAAAAGGTGCACCCGGGGTGCCTGGGTGGCTCAGTCGTTAAGTGCCTGCCTTTGGCTCAGGTCATGATCCCAGGGTCCTGGGATCAAGCCCCGCATCAGGCTCCCTGCTCTGCGGGAAGCCTGCTTCTCCCCCTCCCACTCCCCTTGCTTGTGTTTCCTCTCTCGCTGTGTCTCCCTCTGTCAAATAAATCAGTAAAATCTTTTAAAAAAAGAAAAAAAAGGTGAATCAACAAAAATGGGCACCTGGAATTTTGTTTTCTAGCACAGATGTCATTTACAACCTACAATTAAGTCCCAACATAAACAGCCAAAGTCATGGCTCCTCAGAGTGCACGTCTCCTCCCTTTCACCACTCTATGGAATTCAGATATTCCAAGAGTCCATTACCCCCCTCAAATAAAAACAGACTAATTTTTAACATTTTATTTTTCATCATGAAGTATAGAAATTATAAAAAAACCAAACCAACCAACCAAAAACGACATTCCATTACTTCCGGGGTTTACATAGCAAAATTGGACAGAGGGTGGCAGTGTTTACTCATTTTACAGAGGCGGGGGGGGAAAAAAAAAAAAGACCGTACCAATTACTTTAAATGCAAAAATTCTAATGAACAAACTGGTATACCACAAAGAAATTTAAGACAAATACTATCAGGTTACAACCTAACTTTAGAATGAACTGAAATAGTAGAAAACTGAAGGTAGGAAAAAAACCCAGTGCAATAGCAAGGTTCTCAGATCACTTCGACTTGAAAAGAAACATGGGGGGAAAAAAAAAGAAAAGAAAAGAAAAGAAACATGGAGCAACGAAGGTAAGGACCCTAATCCACCTCCTCAATGGTGGGGCCGGACCCAGAGCCCCCTTTGGGGGCCTGAGCCCCAAAGCCTCCGGCCCCGGGGCCGCCCGCCCCCTGGTACAGTCCGGTGATGATGGGGTTACACACCTGCTCCAGCTCCTTCCTCTTGTGCTCAAACTCATCCTTCTCGGCCAAGGTGTTGGCGTCCAGCCAGGAAATCACCTCCTGGCACTTGTCCAGCACCTTCTTCTTGTCGGCCTCGCTGATCTTCCCCTTGAGTCCCTCATCCTCCACGGCACTCTTCATGTTGAAGGCGTAGGATTCCAGGGCGTTCTTGGCAGACACCCTCTCGCGCTGCACCTCGTCCTCGGCTTTGTACTTCTCAGCCTCCTGCACCATGCGCTCGATGTCCTCCTTGCTCAGGCGGCCCTTGTCGTTGGTGATGGTGATCTTGTTGGCCTTGCCCGTGCTCTTGTCCGTGGCCGTGACGTTCAGGATGCCGTTGGCGTCGATGTCGAAGGTCACCTCGATCTGGGGCACTCCCCGGGGGGCCGGGGGGATGCCGCTCAGCTCGAAGCGCCCCAGCAGGTTGTTGTCCCGCGTCATGGCCCTCTCGCCCTCGTACACCTGGATCAGCACGCCAGGCTGGTTGTCCGAGTAGGTGGTGAAGATCTGCGTCTGCTTGGTGGGGATGGTGGAGTTGCGCTTGATCAGGGCGGTCATCACGCCCCCGGCCGTCTCCAGCCCCAGTGACAGCGGAGCCACGTCCAGCAGCAGCAGGTCCTGCACGTTCTCAGACTTGTCCCCCATCAGGATGGCTGCCTGCACCGCCGCCCCATAGGCCACGGCCTCGTCGGGATTGATGCTCTTGTTGAGGTCACGCCCATTGAAGAAATCTTGCAGCAGCTTCTGCACCTTGGGGATGCGGGTGGAGCCCCCCACCAGGACCAGGTCGTGGATCTGGGCCTTGTCCAGCTTGGCGTCGCGCAGCGCCTTCTCCACGGGCTCCAGGGTGCTCCGGAACAGGTCGGAGCACAGCTCCTCGAACCGCGCCCGGGTGATGGACGTGTAGAAGTCGATGCCCTCGAACAGGGAGTCGATCTCCAGGCTGGCCTGGGTGCTGGACGACAGGGTCCTCTTGGCCCTCTCGCAGGCGGTGCGCAGCCGCCTCACGGCCCGCTTGTTCTGGCTGATGTCCTTCTTGTGCTTCCTCTTGAACTCCTCCACGAAGTGGTTCACCAGCCTGTTGTCAAAGTCCTCCCCTCCCAGGTGGGTGTCCCCGGCCGTGGCCTTCACCTCGAAGATGCCGTCGTCGATCGTCAGGATGGACACGTCGAAGGTGCCGCCGCCCAGGTCAAAGATGAGCACGTTGCGCTCCCCCTTGCCGGTCCTGTCCAGGCCGTAGGCGATGGCGGCGGCCGTGGGCTCGTTGATGATCCTCAGCACGTTCAGCCCCGCGATCACCCCCGCGTCCTTGGTGGCCTGGCGCTGCGAGTCGTTGAAATAGGCCGGCACGGTGATCACCGCGTTGGTCACCGGGTAGCCCAGGTACGCCTCGGCGATCTCCTTCATCTTGGTCAGCACCATGGACGAGATCTCCTCGGGGTAGAACGCCTTGGTCTCCCCCTTGTAGCTCACCTGCACCTTGGGCTTATCTCCGTCGTTGATCACCTGGAAAGGCCAGTGCTTCATGTCCGACTGCACCACCGGGTCGCCGAACTTGCGGCCGATCAGCCGCTTCGCGTCGAACACGGTGTTCTGCGGGTTCAGCGCCACCTGGTTCTTGGCCGCATCCCCGATGAGCCGCTCGGTGTCCGTGAAGGCCACGTAGCTGGGGGTGGTGCGGTTGCCCTGGTCGTTGGCGATGATCTCCACCTTGCCGTGCTGGAACACCCCCACGCAGGAGTAGGTGGTGCCCAGGTCGATGCCGATGGCCGCGGTTTTCGCCATGCCGCTGTCCTGCTCCCTTGCCCCGCGCTCAGGTTCAGGCTTTGTGAAAGGCGGTCGGGATCCGCGACGAGGAGCTCGGTCTTTTCTGAAGCTGCGAACTCGAGAACGTGCGGGATCCGGATGCGGTGGGTCTGCGAAAGTTGCGCTGGCGGACGCCACAGGAGCGCCTGCTGTCTTTTCGGCAGGTTTGCTGTTTGTCAGCGGCTGGGCGGCTCTGTGTTTATAGCGCTTCGTCCGGCCCCGCCTTTCCCGTCCTCGGCCAATCGCGGAGCCCTGCGGGCCTGCCAGGTCCGGAATATTCCAGGGGTTTCGTCTCGCGTCCTGCCTCCAGGCTTTCTGGGACCAATCGGCGTCCAGGGTGCCGCCCCTCCCAGAACTCTCCAGACTCTTCTGGGATTCTTGGGAAGGGACCCGAGTCCTAAGGGGGGGGAGGAGAACAGCTGGGATCGGTGATTGTTGATTCTGCCCACCCAGTCTCCTACCCGCTGGCGATGATGTTCCCTGGTGTTGAAATTGACCAGAAGGACTAGCATTAGGCTGGTAATTGTAGGGCGGTGAGAGGCTCTTGGGGTTCAAACTAGTTTGATGGCTTAAGATAGGATGAAGGGCTACACGACTCCCGGGGATACCCCAGATACAGAAAGTTCCCGAGTTTCTCGAAATGGGTGAGCTATCTGTGGGTCAAAGAGACTCTGATTGGACTGTGGTGCTGACGGACGGGGCCGCGTTTAGGCCCGCTAGTGGATCGATACAAAGGCCTGGGCTGCCTGAGGATTATTGCCTTGGCTATCCGCGGCGTTTTTCCCACCTTCGATTTAAAAAGCGGAAAAGAGAAGGAAAGATAATGCAGTATAGTTTTGACATCATCTTTAACCTACACGGATGGAATATCTGGGGATGGGGAATTTGAATTTTTTAAAAGAAAACCAATCAAGTAAACAGGTGGTTCTTAAACTGGAGAACGTCCCCATCGCCCCAGAAGGAACAAGCTGGGCCAAGGGCGGGGGGAGGGGAAGGGCAGGGCTGGATCTGCTGAACCCATTTGCCTCCGGCTGGGCTCAGGCGGGAGGAAGAAAAAAACTTTCCATAGGACTTCAGCTGTCTTTAAGGCCTTTGGGGCTTTTCTGTTTCCCTGTTCTTCCCAGCCTGCGCGTCTGGGCCACCCCTTTCCCTCTTTTCCGCCTGTTAATTACTGGTTCATACTCAGAACGCAGAATTCGGTCTTCTGCCGAATTCTTTCGCCCTTAGGCTTTCCATCCTTTTTAAATGAAATGCAGAGGATTTCGCCCTTAGGCTTTCCATCCTTTTTAAATGAAATGTAGAGGATGGGGAGCCGGCGAGGGAAGGGTGGGGATGTTCTGTCCTCCTTAACAGCATCATAAACCACAGCTGGTTGCAGGTGGTCCCTTTTAAAAAAAACTGGTCGGGAATCCTGATACTGGAAGGTGGGAGGAGTTGATCGGACGCAGGTTCTACTTCCAACTTCTTTAAAACTTATTTATCATGCATTTAATTCACCCACTTAGTTTTTTATCCTAGATTCCAACTTCCTGCACGTTATCCTCCCTCCTGCTTTGAATACAAACACATTTGATCATTCATTCCGCCCCCTCCCCCTTTTAAATCCTTTGCAGGCACGGAGAACCATTTGTTGGCTGCCTGATATGAAAATCTAAGGGACATTAAAGTAACAGCGCCGGGTTCACAACCCACCAAAAATAGACTCATTGCTGTATACACATAGTTGAGCACAGTAAACACAGTGGGAGAAGGCAGTTTTTTGTATGTTTTTATATGAGAAGGCAGTTTTTGATGAAGGGAAGGAATCTAACTTTTGAACATTTTGCTCAGTTGGAATTGCCTTTACAATCCCGTGTGTGTGTGTGCAGGCAAGCGATAACTTTTTTTTTTTTAACATTCAGATGTAGCTCCCTAATGAGTCACCTCCTAATCTAGTCAAACTGGTCAAACTTAAGGAATTTTCCATTTCTTTATGCAATCTCTGGCGACTCCCCAAGCTTCCGTTTTAGCTGCCCAATGTGTCAACACTTCTAGGGACCCTTAACCTCACCTCCTCCTCCCTCTGGAAGCTTCCTTGCCATTAGCTGCTACTAGAGGCAGTTCTGGATTTACTCGTTCCTTCTCTCCAGATCTGCAATTTAGAATACTTTATTGGCTGGACGCAAAGGGCATCACTGTACCCACTGCCTGGCAGGTAGACATGGTGACCGGACCTCAAATCTTGCTCCTGTTGGTGTAGCAGAAAAAGATCCACTAGTAATCGTTTTCCATGAATCATCAGCTACACCCTATAGCTGATCTACCTTTTGAGTTAAATCTCTCTGTGTGGACTGGTCTGGAAACCCAAACATCTGTATTACTTTCCCATTTCCTGACAAGGAGAGGGTCTCCTGAATTTTGCCTTTTACACTGGATGCCTCTCAAGGCAAAAACCCTGTCACGGGTTTAATTGGTGTCTAAGGTGACTTGTAAGAACCCCAAGAGATTTTCCAGAATTTTATTTTGGCTAATTTTGCAATGAGGTTTTTATCAGATTTGGCATTTTAAAGGATCAAGTCTCAGGTTCCCCAAACTGGTGGGGCTGTAAGGTACTTAAAGGGTGGGGAACAAAAGAGAGAGAGCCAAGAACTCTGCAGTGCAGGAAGTATGGAGGAAGTGAGCCTTCATCACCCTGAAGCTGTTTTTTTTTTTTCTTCTTCTCTCCTTTTTCCTGCAGTTTCTCAAACAGTAGTCTTCTCCTCAATTCTTTGAGTTTTAAAAGATGGTACAATTCTAAGGTTAGTTAGAAAAAAGCTAAAGAGATAACTGATACGAAATCTAGAGCCAGGCATTTTTAACAAGTCAGTGGCAAAGGCTGCAGTGACTGGGGAGCGCTGCAGATTTCCAGAAGCTTGGGAAAATCTGACTCTACTTCCTTGTAAAGGCTGTTTTTCTTCTTCCTCCTTGTCCTCCTCCTTCTTCTTCACCATGCAGTACTTGTAAGTTAACTAACACAAGTCTCTGTATCTCTAAAATAGAATTAACAATATCCATCTTATAGGATGGTAGCATCAGGAATTAATAGGATAATGCTGCTCAGGCCTTAGTTCTGTGACTGGGACAGAGTAGTGCTCAAAAGTTTGCTACCTTTCTCCTGTCTTTGTTGGGAGCCTACACTCTAGGGTCTGACCTCTCAATCTTTCTTCTTGAGGTGCTTGCAAGATTGGGGACTACTGCCAGGACAATGGCATTACTTTCAATTTACTGGAGAAACTATTAAGATTTTTAGGCAGAGGCCATTCAGCCAAACCTTTTCGTTTTCAAAGACGAACACAAAAGATCAGAGGCTCAGTGGCTTAGTCAGGTCACTCTGAGAGGTAATTACAGAACTGGTGATTGAGCCTACGTGTCCTCATACTCCCTATTTTGGACTCATCTCAATGCTGGCATATGCATCCTATCCTTTCATTCTCGAGAGGAAAACAAATAGCCACAGAAGGGAGTGAAGTGAATGTCAGGGCTCTGTGCGCATTAGGGGCATCACGGGGTTATGTGACCAGCCGGGGCCTCCCCTCCTGGCTGCCACTTCTGACTCCTGATCATCCCCCGCCCGCTCCTACCTTTCCCACCCTTCCAGGTCTCCCAGCCCCGCCTCCCCTTCCCTTCATAACAGACTGTTAGGTCGGAAAGGGGAAAGCGGGGTGTGTGTGGGGGAGCCCTGTAACTATGGCTAGGTTGGACATAGTTCACAGAATCTTCTGGAAATTAAATATAGAGCCATGACTAAGCTTGATGTTTTAGGGCGGGGTTGGGGTTTGGGGGTGGGGTTGGGAACCTCGGACGGGGCAGTATGTTGAAGAGTGTTCTTACGAGTCAGTCCCCGCCCCCGAACCCAGAAACCTCCAGAAAGTTCCTGACAGCGGGTAAAAGGGGGCACCGAACGGCGGGCGGAGGGATACGGGCGGGGGCGGGGGCGGGCCGCAGAGCGCGGAGGCAGCCGCTGGGACCTAGCGGCGGGGCTGGCCGCAGGATTGCCTGGCCGGTCCCGGGGTTTTGTGATTGTTTTTTCAAGACGGGATGAAAAAAGAAAAAAGGCGAGATTTTCACAGTTTCGCTCACACTAGGTAATTTATGCGACGAAAGCATGGGAAAGTTTTGTAGCTCCTATAACTAAGCCGGAGGAATCGGGTGGCCAGACGCCAGAAGAGGAGGCCCCAGAGCCCGAGGCGAGCGCGCACCGGGCTCGGCGGGCACGCGCGGCGGGTGGGTCCTTGCTGGCCTCGCTCTGCCGCCGCCTCACCGGCGGCTGTCGCTCCTCGTCCCCGTGCAGAGGTTGGGAGCTGTAAAAAAGGTCGAAGGCCCTGGGAAGTGATTCTCATCTTCTGGACTCCGTCTTCCCCCCCCGCCCCAGTGCTCCCCGGGTGTACCCTGTCCTTCGATCCTTGACGAGGCGCGACAAGGACCGGCGGGGCGCGGAGGGGCGGGGCGGGTTCACCCCGGCCTCCGGAATTTGCTCCGAGGCCCGAGCCCTTAGACTTTCTGGGAGCGGTGCTAGGAAAGGGGGCGGGACTGGTGGCGTTGCCCTGTCCCAGTGCAGCGGATTCCCAAGAGGTGACCCAAGGAGACGGATTTAGGGTTTTCAATTAGAGTGAAGGTTGATGACAGTTCCCAATTTTTTATCCCTACCATAAGGATCGCCCCCTCACCTGAAATAACCCCATCTCCTCTTTTATCCGAAAGCCCATGTCCATGCCCACTTCTTTCATATTTATAAAAAGTTTGTTGTTTTGATTACCTTTTTCATATTTGATGACAATCCTGTTAAACACCAGAAATAACAGTAAGTATATATGTTGCTAATAAAGCAGTATCTTGGATTCAAAAAGCATTTAAAATCAATTGCATTACCATAGCCACTTGCCTTCTGAGGGCTGGCATAGGGAGATAGGTGGGACTGGAAAGGAATTAGGGAAGGTATTTGATTTAAAACATTCTTTCCTCATCCAGTTATGTTTCCTCGATGTACCTTCCTACCCCCAAAGTTTCTTCTGTTACCCAAGACATTCTTTCTCCAGGGATGGCACTGCATTCTCTTTGCTTTAAATCTACAATTTTGGGATGCCAGCCTGGCTCAGTTGGTTAAGTGTCTGCCTTTGGCTTAGGTCATGATCCCAGTACTCTGGGATCCAGTACCCCACCGGGCTCCTTGCTCAGCTGGGAGCCTGCTGCTCCTCCTGCTTGTGCACTCTCTCTCTGACAAAATCTTAAAAAAAAAACCTACAATTTCATCAGCCTGATCTCCTTTGATGTTACAAAGTGATTATTTCAGTCCTCAGTGCAAGGGTATGCCAGCTATAACTTCTTATATTGATTTCTTAATAAAGCACCCACTCAATAACGACTAATCAGGCCATAGGAACTTATTTTCGCCAGGGTTATTTCTGGAGATTTCCCTAAACTCTCTGATCAAAGGTGTTTGGTAGGTCCTTCCCAATCTCCACCCTTTTCCATCCACCCTCCCTGTCCCCTGCCACCTCTCTCCTAAGTAGTGGTAGTGGCTGCTGGCTTGAAGTCACTGTTATTTGCAAATGACAGTCACAAAATGTTCCTGCAGCTCTGAAGAGGAGGTCCTGTAGCAAATGCGTATCCTCGTGAAGACTGATTTACATTGTAGCTAGAGTCCATAGCCCTACAGTTCAACTGTCTTGAAGGTTAAAAGTGCCTTTATAAGCGTCGCTTAGTTTTCCATTTCCATATTCCAGGACAAAGTCCACATGTATGTGCTATTCCCAGAATACTGATTTTCTTCAGAGGCTACTATTTACTAAAAGGTTTGGTGGGCTCTGAAGAACACATAAATTCAGAAAATGCTTTTATGGAATGTTGAGTGAGACCATTTTTTAAAAATTGTTTCTGTTGTTGAAGTGAGATTCACATAACATAAAAACCATCTTAAAGTGCACAATTCAGGGGTACCTGGCTGGCTCAGTCTGAAGAGCATGCAACTTGGTCTCAGGGTCACAAGTTCGAGCCCCATGTTGGGTGTAGAGATTACTTTACAAAAAATAAAAAATTAAAAAATAACGAAGTGGACAATTCAGTGGTACCAAGTATATCCACAATGATCTGCAACCACCATCTCTATCTTGTTCCAAAACAATTTTGTAACCTCCATATGCAACTGATTTTTAAAGGGGTTCACTCCCCAAGCCTTGAAGATTGCAGCAGGGCCTTTTCCAATGAGGTGGTGAAGGGGATTATTTCTAGAATCCTACCAGCTAGGATATGCAGTATCTCAAAGGGAAGGTAGTGCATAGGAAGGAAACCTGTAGTAGGCCTCCCCTCTTCTAAGTTTCCCCCTCTTCTAGGTTAACAAATACTAAGCCTTTGTTATCAATCCTAGTGTTTATCTGATGTTATTGTTTGGGATCCCATAAAGTAAAGGCAAAGGGGTAATGATTGTGAAACCCAAGTTAAAACCAACCCAGAACCAGGCATAGTTAAAAAAAAAAAAAAGTACTGTGAACCTGGGGACAGCCTGGCAAAAACTGATGAAACCAGAGTTGGAATCCAGGTTTAACATCTTTGCCAAACTGGAAAATTTTTTAACCACTTAAGTAATTTTAGTTAAGCCAGTAACTTTTAAGTTCTCCCATGTGTTCACTTGTGCAAGTTAGACACTACGTAAACTCAGTGTCGTGGAATGAGTATTCATAAACATAAAGGGCCCTAAAACAGTGCCTGGTACATAAAAGCGCTGAAATATTAGGTCCTTCTGCTGGGGCACCAAACTCAATGACAGTTCCTTGCAGATACTCACTGGATACTTTTTTTTTTTAAGATTTTATTTATTTATTTGACAGAGCGAGAGAGGGAACATAAGCAGAGGGAGTGGGAGAGGGAGAAGCAGGCTCCCCGCTGAGCAGGGAGCCCGATGTGGGGCTCGATCCCAGGACCCTGGGATCATGCCCTGAACCAAAGGCATACGCTTAACAACTGAGCCACCCAGGCGCCCCTACTCACTGGGTATTTAAAACGTAAATAACCATTGGCAGAAATGTGACACTTCTATCTCAGTAACCTCTCATAAATGAGAACTATAGACTGAGGTATCAGGCCAGACTTTCATTTTAACAAATGAGAAAGAGAGGTCAGCGTGGCTAATGCCTAACTGGGCAAGCCAGTGCCAATTTAGGATTCACCTGTTCTTTCATGCTGAAACCAGATTACATAGCATGACTGACATATCAGGCGAACTTACAGGAATGGGCAGCCAGGACCTTCCCACCTAACTGCCTCTCCCTTCTGTCTTTTGTCAGCTTCTCCAGGAACACCACCCCACACCCCTTTGCCAGGCCACCCTTACACAGGGTCAACCCCTTCACCAAACTTGAGGCCACTAGGTCAGTAGCCCTTAAATTTTTCTACACCCACAGACCCAACCCACTCAAAATAAGCAGTTTTTTAAAAAAAATCTCCCCAAAATGCCATTTGCCTAAAAGAAAGAGATCACAGTGCAATATATAAACTTACTTCTCCAGATCCTGGACCATTATCTAAGATACAAATTACCAGTTTTAGACCAAAAAGACAACCTACAAAGACTCTAACCTCAAAATAAAACACAGAAGCAATCAAATTATTCAATTTATTTACTCAGCAGAAAATAGTTAAAACAACATAACAAAAAAAGGCCCGAGTTTGGTGTGGATATTACGAAAAAGAAAGGCACAAACGGTAGCAGTATAAATTTTTGCTACCTTTAGACTCTAGGAAAAAAGGAACTTCATGAATTCACCAAAAGAGACAGTTGAAATTAAGCAAACAACTGGCAATGTTGAGAGCTGATGAAACACAGACATGGAAGGCAATGCAAGAGTCCTGAATCCCAACAGTCTCCGACACAAACACAAACAATTTGAGGAAGAAGTCTTAATCCACCTCCTCAATGGTGGGGCCAGACCCAGAGCCCCCTTTGGGGGCCTGAGCCCCAAAGCCTCCGGCCCCGGGGCCGCCCGCCCCCTGGTACAGTCCGGTGATGATGGGGTTACACACCTGCTCCAGCTCCTTCCTCTTGTGCTCAAACTCATCCTTCTCGGCCAAGGTGTTGGCGTCCAGCCAGGAAATCACCTCCTGGCACTTGTCCAGCACCTTCTTCTTGTCGGCCTCGCTGATCTTCCCCTTGAGTCCCTCATCCTCCACGGCACTCTTCATGTTGAAGGCGTAGGATTCCAGGGCGTTCTTGGCAGACACCCTCTCGCGCTGCACCTCGTCCTCGGCTTTGTACTTCTCAGCCTCCTGCACCATGCGCTCGATGTCCTCCTTGCTCAGGCGGCCCTTGTCGTTGGTGATGGTGATCTTGTTGGCCTTGCCCGTGCTCTTGTCCGTGGCCGTGACGTTCAGGATGCCGTTGGCGTCGATGTCGAAGGTCACCTCGATCTGGGGCACTCCCCGGGGGGCCGGGGGGATGCCGCTCAGCTCGAAGCGCCCCAGCAGGTTGTTGTCCCGCGTCATGGCCCTCTCGCCCTCGTACACCTGGATCAGCACGCCAGGCTGGTTGTCCGAGTAGGTGGTGAAGATCTGCGTCTGCTTGGTGGGGATGGTGGAGTTGCGCTTGATCAGGGCGGTCATCACGCCCCCGGCCGTCTCCAGCCCCAGTGACAGCGGAGCCACGTCCAGCAGCAGCAGGTCCTGCACGTTCTCAGACTTGTCCCCCATCAGGATGGCTGCCTGCACCGCCGCCCCATAGGCCACGGCCTCGTCGGGATTGATGCTCTTGTTGAGGTCACGCCCATTGAAGAAATCTTGCAGCAGCTTCTGCACCTTGGGGATGCGGGTGGAGCCCCCCACCAGGACCAGGTCGTGGATCTGGGCCTTGTCCAGCTTGGCGTCGCGCAGCGCCTTCTCCACGGGCTCCAGGGTGCTCCGGAACAGGTCGGAGCACAGCTCCTCGAACCGCGCCCGGGTGATGGACGTGTAGAAGTCGATGCCCTCGAACAGGGAGTCGATCTCCAGGCTGGCCTGGGTGCTGGACGACAGGGTCCTCTTGGCCCTCTCGCAGGCGGTGCGCAGCCGCCTCACGGCCCGCTTGTTCTGGCTGATGTCCTTCTTGTGCTTCCTCTTGAACTCCTCCACGAAGTGGTTCACCAGCCTGTTGTCAAAGTCCTCCCCTCCCAGGTGGGTGTCCCCGGCCGTGGCCTTCACCTCGAAGATGCCGTCGTCGATCGTCAGGATGGACACGTCGAAGGTGCCGCCGCCCAGGTCAAAGATGAGCACGTTGCGCTCCCCCTTGCCGGTCCTGTCCAGGCCGTAGGCGATGGCGGCGGCCGTGGGCTCGTTGATGATCCTCAGCACGTTCAGCCCCGCGATCACCCCCGCGTCCTTGGTGGCCTGGCGCTGCGAGTCGTTGAAATAGGCCGGCACGGTGATCACCGCGTTGGTCACCGGGTAGCCCAGGTACGCCTCGGCGATCTCCTTCATCTTGGTCAGCACCATGGACGAGATCTCCTCGGGGTAGAACGCCTTGGTCTCCCCCTTGTAGCTCACCTGCACCTTGGGCTTATCTCCGTCGTTGATCACCTGGAAAGGCCAGTGCTTCATGTCCGACTGCACCACCGGGTCGCCGAACTTGCGGCCGATCAGCCGCTTCGCGTCGAACACGGTGTTCTGCGGGTTCAGCGCCACCTGGTTCTTGGCCGCATCCCCGATGAGCCGCTCGGTGTCCGTGAAGGCCACGTAGCTGGGGGTGGTGCGGTTGCCCTGGTCGTTGGCGATGATCTCCACCTTGCCGTGCTGGAACACCCCCACGCAGGAGTAGGTGGTGCCCAGGTCGATGCCGATGGCCGCGGTTTTCGCCATGCCGCTGTCCTGCTCCCTTGCCCCGCGCTCAGGTTCAGGCTTTGTGAAAGGCGGTCGGGATCCGCGACGAGGAGCTCGGTCTTTTCTGAAGCTGCGAACTCGAGAACGTGCGGGATCCGGATGCGGTGGGTCTGCGAAAGTTGCGCTGGCGGACGCCACAGGAGCGCCTGCTGTCTTTTCGGCAGGTTTGCTGTTTGTCAGCGGCTGGGCGGCTCTGTGTTTATAGCGCTTCGTCCGGCCCCGCCTTTCCCGTCCTCGGCCAATCGCGGAGCCCTGCGGGCCTGCCAGGTCCGGAATATTCCAGGGGTTTCGTCTCGCGTCCTGCCTCCAGGCTTTCTGGGACCAATCGGCGTCCAGGGTGCCGCCCCTCCCAGAACTCTCCAGACTCTTCTGGGGCTTGCTGAGGCTGGCAAGGCTTCGGGGAGGGTGGGGTCGGTGCGAGGAGGTGGGAGGGGCTGGGAGGGGCTGGGAGGGAGGGAGGCAGGGTGGGGGCGGCAGTGTTGACGCTGCTATCCTAGACGCGTTACAATGGGGGTGCTGCCTTTGACCTCATGGGTTAGTAAGCAATCGGGATGGTAGGACCGGAGTCCGCTCAAAGTTGTAGGGCGGGGCGGGTGGGGGGTGGGGGAACACCAGCTGCGCATTTTGGATGTTGAAGGAGCCCCCACCCTCCGGGGCTCCGCAATCAGAACATTATCAAACTGGATCGAAGGCGGCGGGACAATAGGTGAGCCTGGAGGGCTCTCCCTGAAATGGAATGGCAGTAGGCAAGATTAATAGATCCGTGTTTGAGAAAGTGCTGGAACGTTCTATAGTTTTAGTCTAAGGTAATGGGGCATTGACCAATCAGGGAAGGGGAATCCTTTGGTAAGAGCCAAGGTGGGTGGGATTTGTCAGTGCTGCTGGAAAGAGGTCGGGGAGCTGATCTGTTAGTGTCTTCAGATAGGCGTTATTCCAGAGACCGGAGAGAGATTGCTTGTTGGCGCTCAGTCTCGTCTGAGAAAGTTTGTGAGGGTTTGATTGGGTTCCTAGCAGCCATTTTCAGACCAGCCCAATATTACTCCCGACAAATCCCTAATTGAGGGTAAGGGAGCTGTGGAAGGTAGCTAAATCGAAGTGTGGCGATTAATGTCTCCTGAGGAGACCAGAATATAAAATAATCTTAGTTCAGCAGGAGGACAGGTACAATCGCAGAATAAACATCACAGATAGTTAGGCCCTGTGAAAATTGAACACAGTATATGCTAACTGCCTCCCATTTGCTTCCAGTTCGCTAAGAATACTTTAGTCCAAAAAGCACTGTCTGTGAAAGAAGGGACTGGAAAAAGATACTTGTACACCGAATTTATGGCAGCATTATTCACAATAGCCATAAGGTAGAAGCAGCCCAAGTGTCCAAGGAGGGAATGAATAAATAAGCAAAATGTGTTATATACTTATAATGAATATTATTCAGCTTTAAGAAGTAAAGAAACTGATACATGCTGTAACATAGATGAACTTTGAGGATATCTTTCTATGTGAAATAAGCCAGTCACAAAGAAGAAATTACTATGTCATTCTATTAATAGTAGTCGAACTGATAGAGACAGAAAGTAGAATAGTAGTTGCCGGAGAGAGGAGGGGAATGGAGAGTGGTTTTAATGGGTATAGAATTTCAGGTTTGCAAGTTAAAAAGTTTTCTGGAGGTTGGTCAACAATATGAATGAACTTACCGCTGAACAGGACACTTAAAAAACAGTTAAGATGGTAAATTTTCAAATTATGTGTATTTTACCACAATTGAAAGTAATAAAATAAAAAAGCACTGTGCCAAAACTTTACCTCATTTTTTCTTCTCAGGCCTCGGAAGACCATGGCTGCTGCTAAGGGAATGGCCATTGGCATCGACCTGGGCACCACCTACTCCTGCGTGGGGGTGTTCCAGCACGGCAAGGTGGAGATCATCGCCAACGACCAGGGCAACCGCACCACCCCCAGCTACGTGGCCTTCACGGACACCGAGCGGCTCATCGGGGATGCCGCCAAGAACCAGGTAGCCATGAATCCGCAGAACACTGTCTTTGATGCCAAACGTCTGATTGGCAGGAAGTTTAATGATCCTGTAGTGCAATCAGATATGAAACTTTGGCCTTTTCAAGTAATCAATGAAGGAGGCAAGCCCAAGGTATTGGTGTCATACAAAGGGGAGAAAAAAGCTTTCTATCCTGAGGAAATCTCTTCTATGGTACTGACGAAGATGAAGGAGACTGCTGAGGCTTTTTTGGGCCACCCCGTTACCAATGCTGTGATCACTGTACCAGCCTATTTCAATGATTCTCAACGCCAGGCCACCAAGGATGCAGGCGTAATTGCAGGTCTCAATGTGCTAAGAATTATCAATGAACCCACAGCTGCTGCCATTGCGTATGGCTTAGATAAAGCAGGTCAGGGAGAGCGACATGTCTTGATCTTTGATCTAGGTGGAGGCACATTTGATGTGTCCATCCTGACCATAGATGATGGAATTTTTGAGGTGAAGGCCACAGCTGGGGATACCCACCTGGGAGGGGAGGACTTTGACAACAGGCTGGTGAGCCACTTCGTGGAGGAGTTCAAGAGGAAGCACAAGAAGGACATCAGCCAGAACAAGCGGGCCGTGAGGCGGCTGCGCACCGCCTGCGAGAGGGCCAAGAGGACCCTGTCGTCTAGCACCCAGGCCAACTTGGAAATTGATTCACTTTATGAAGGCATTGACTTCTACACGTCCATCACCAGAGCCCGGTTTGAAGAGTTGTGTGCAGACCTGTTTAGAGGCACTCTGGAACCTGTGGAGAAGGCTCTTCGGGATGCCAAGATGGATAAGGCTAAGATCCATGACATTGTGTTAGTGGGGGGCTCCACTCGTATCCCTAAGGTTCAGAGGCTGCTGCAGGACTACTTTAATGGTCGTGATCTCAACAAGAGCATCAACCCTGACGAGGCCGTGGCCTATGGGGCAGCGGTGCAGGCAGCCATCCTGATGGGGGACAAGTCTGAAAAGGTACAGGATCTGCTTTTGTTGGATGTGGCTCCCTTGTCCCTAGGGTTGGAAACGGCTGGGGGCGTCATGACGGTCCTGATCAAGCGCAACTCCACCATCCCCACCAAGCAGACGCAGATCTTCACCACCTATTCAGATAATCAGCCTGGGGTATTGATCCAGGTGTATGAGGGCGAGAGGGCCATGACCCGAGACAACAACCTCCTGGGGCGCTTTGACCTGACTGGAATCCCTCCTGCACCCAGGGGAGTGCCCCAGATCGAGGTGACCTTTGACATCGATGCCAATGGTATTCTCAATGTAACAGCCATGGACAAGAGCACAGGCAAGGCCAATAAGATCACCATCACCAATGACAAGGGCCGCCTGAGCAAGGAGGAGATTGAGCGCATGGTTCTGGATGCTGAGAAGTATAAAGCGGAGGATGAGGTCCAGAGAGAGAAAATCTCTGCAAAAAATGCTTTAGAATCTTATGCTTTTAACATGAAGAGTGCTGTGAGTGATGAAGGCTTGAAGGGCAAGATTAGTGAGTCTGATAAAAAGAAAATACTGGATAAATGTAATGAGGTCCTTTCATGGCTGGAGGCCAATCAACTGGCTGAGAAAGAGGAGTTTGATCATAAGAGAAAGGAATTGGAGCAGGTGTGTAACCCAATCATCACAAAACTCTACCAGGGAGGATGCACCGGGCCTTCCTGTGGGACGGGGTATACTCCTGGAAGGGCTGCCACAGGCCCCACCATTGAAGAAGTAGATTAATCTTATGTGGAGCTGGAGGGTTCTAGGGTGCCTCTAAGGTGAATTTTGTTGCCCTCATTTTCAAACATTGTTATGATTACTGAATTGACTGTCCTGGACCTAAGTTACCATCCCTTCGGATTCTGACAAAAGAGTCTTGTATACCATCTTTTCTCAATCCATGTTTCTGACTCTTAGGAAAACTAGGCCCCTGAACCATTTGATGAATTCGAATGTCATTTATTTCCGACCTCCCCAACTTTCTTCCTGTGTGGATGGTTAAATGTCACTCAGTAAATTTGTTCCTAAAACAAATTTATTCTGGTATCTTTATTGATTTACTATTTTTAAGTTTATTATTTTTTTATTTTTAAAGATTTATTTTAGAGAGAGCACGCACATATGCGTGAGCATATGTGAGAACGCTGAGGGGGAGGAGGAACAGAGGAGAGAGAAACCCAGCGGACTCCACACTGAGCTCAGAGCCTGATGTGGACTCCATCCCACCACCCTGAGATCATGACCTCAGCCGAAACCAAGAGTCGGATGCCCAAATGACTGAGCCACCCAGGAGCCCCTATTTTTTTAAATTAATTTATTTAAGTCGTCTCCACACCCACTGTGGGGCTCAAACTCATGACCCCAAGATGAAGAGTCGTGTGCTCTTCTGAGCCAGCCAGGCACCCCTCTTCTGGTATCTTTATAGACTGTGAGCGTACCTTGAAAAGTAAGGTAAAGAAGATTTCATGAAGAGTGTGAGTGTGGTCTGATTGTGAAATCATTGTGAATGATTAAACTGGTAAGGAGAAAGTACTTGAATTATCATGAACTAATTGTTTCAAGCAGGAAAATAACTTTTGATCATCAGGCACCTTTAGCTCCAGCTAGAGCAGTTGCTATTTATAGTTTCTGCTTGTACTCAGTGATAGACTCGTTTAGGTGCTTAGGGTTTAACTGGGGGGAACAAACTTCTGCTTGATGTCCTTATGACATTTATAGGTGGGGTCTAGGACACCCAACATCTGTGTACTCGTAGTCTATTATTACATCCTTTACATGCAGAAAACATTTTTACAACAAACTGCTGACGTATGGATACTTTTCTGCAAGATGAGAAATGGATTTAGCAGTCTTATTCCTTGAAAAAAGTATTTTCACCTATTGTGTCATAATATCACATCTTTATAAAACCCTTAGGGGCATGAGTATAGAAGTCTGTGTAACTGTGCACTTGTGTCCTTTAGTGTTTGAGGGGGCATATTTGGAAGTGAAATACTAGAATAGGAATTTCTACCCCTGAGCAAGCTTCTCTTTGGTTTTACTCAGTCCTTTACAGGACAGCCCTAGGCAAAAGGGTGTAAGAAACATGGGTCCTTGGGAGAAAAATGTTTATTGGGAACCTTTGATAAAATCAAGATTAGTGCTCTGGCTCCTAATCTCGGCGACTCCGCAACATTTTATTTTTTATCGAAGTGTAACGGATATAGAAAAGTGCACAAATCAGGAGTTTTCCCAAGTTCCTCGACAGTTTTCAAAAGAGTGTCTGTAGGGTGTTAGCACCGTGGGGGGCACTATCAAGTAAAAACCCCGGAAAGGGGGCGCCTGGGTGGCTCAGTTGGTTAAGCGACTGCCTTCAGCTCAGGTCATGATCCCAGGGTCCTGGGATCGAGTCCCGCATCGGGCTCCCTGCTCTGCGGGGAGCCTGCTTCTCCCTTTCCCACTCCCCCTGCTTGTGTTTCTTCTCTCGCTGTGTCTCTCTCTGTCAAATAAATGAATAAAATCTTTAAAAAAAAAAAAAAAAAAAAAAAAAAAAAAAAAAAAAAACCCGGAAAGGCGAGGAGCCTCTTCAAAACTCGGTAACAGCTCGGGCTCGCGCCTGCGTGGTGGAAGCCCGCCTCTCCGGGAGGAAGTGGGAAGGCAGGAAGACCCGCCCCTTCCCCGGCTTAAACGCCCCCTCGGCTCTCCCCTGCCGGCTCTCCCCTGCCGGCTTTCCCGGAGCCGCGAGTCTGCCGCGCGCGCCTGTCATTACTCAGAGCTTCCGCGGCTTTTCTCGCTGCGCCTGCGCGATTCCGTCCCGCCCCACGCGCGGGCTCGCTTCCCGGTTGCCGCCCGACCCCAGGCCTGCGGTTCCCTGCCTTCGCCTTCCCGGTCCGGCCGGCAGCCCGCGGCTTGAGCACCATGGTAGGTACCGTGACGTCACAAGGGGGCGCCCTGGGGGAGCGCGGGCGGGCCGGACGGTTGGAGACGGCGCGCGGCGGGGGGGGTGTGTGTGTCGGGGGGTCGTCTAGGCTTTGACCCTCGGGGCCGGAGTTGGGCCCTGGGGTTTGCCCTCTGTTCTTAGTTCCTACGCCTCGCATTCTGGGGGGACACACTTCGGAGCAAATGGGATTTTTTTTTCCCCCTTATGCGGGGAAAAAAACAAAAGAAACGCGCGAGAGAGTTGGGGACAGGAGGGGAGGGAAGAGCTAGACCTCAGGGAGTATTTCTGTGACGGAGGCCAGGCTTTGGGAGGGTGAGAATGGGATGCTTTCTACAATTCTGCCCACTGGGAGTGGGGGGTTGCGGGGGTGGGCAGGAGCCCAGGAGAGGTGGTCGATTGAGAGACCGACCCGGAGAGCCCGAGGGGTGCCGGGCAGAGCGTCTTTCTGGAGCTTTAAGTCATGCTCAGTGAAGTGTATTTGGGCTCCAGCCGGTCATCCCTGTCAGAGTATTGTTTCCCGTAAAGTTTTGAGAACTGCCAGAGATGTGGTGGAGATCCCAATACCAGTATTTGGGAATACTAGCAGAGGGAGGGACGCTCCTTCCTACCGTGTACCGTCCCAGGTGATGGTTTTTCCTCTCTCGCCCAATAGCTCTTCTATTCCTTTTTCAAGTCCCTGGTGGGCAAGGATGTGGTCGTGGAACTCAAGAATGACCTGAGGTAGGCACCTGCTCGAGCAAGTCCGTAGCGGGTGGGTAAATGCGGGGCTCTGGAACCTCTTTGACAAGTATTATTTGAGGGCTGGACAAAGTGGGAGAGATACAAAAGAAATAAATGACCTGTGCCTTAAGCTTAAAGTACAAGAGAGCCATCAGAGGGCAGAGGCATCAATAAATTTTTTTTAACAAAATGAACATAGTTCTGTTTTTTCTGATTATTTACTCCTTTGACCCAATTATAGAAATGTATGCATCAGTTTCACAAGTAAAGGTGTATCACAGAGGTGTTTGTGGTTTTATTTGCAATAGCCAAAAATTGGAAGCAAATAGTCATCTATAGGGAATGGGTTAATTAAGTTGTGGCATTTCCATAATATACAGCTGTCATAGAGGAATAAGATGTATTGATATGGAGAGCTGTTGCAGAATAGTCGATGTGGCACAATCTCCATTTTGTTAAAGAAAATGTAAAGGATAAACCAAAGCCCAGTGCAGTCCCGTATGTCTGTGCTGCTTTTACAGCCTCTACCCCCTTCTGTCATTAGCTCCTAATTAGCATCCAGGACATGGATAAATGCTGTATCCTTGGAGAGACGTTTTTCCTGGTCCTTCTCGCCAAGTAGTATCTGTCATATAGTCTATTTTTTTCCTCATGTGTGCTTCTCAAATTGTGATTTCATAAAAGTATGTTTATTGTTTACGGCCTATCCTTCCTACAGGGCCAGGACCATGTTTAAGCTCACCTTTGTGTACCTAATGTCTACCATAGACCTGGTATATCGTAGGTGCTTAATAAGTGTGTGCTGAAAGAAAGAAAAATAGCTAACATTTGGGAACATCCTGTCAGTTAAGCACTATTCTGAATACATTTATTAATTCATTTAATTCTCGTAAGAACTCTATAGGACACATACTGTTACTGCTATCTTAAACATGAGGAAACTGAAGCATAGAAAGGTTAAGAAACTTGCTCAAGTCTACACAACTAGTAGATGACACAGCCAGAACTGAAGTCCAGTTCTGTCTGGTGTGCGCACATTTGCACACTCTCTCTTATAAATTAAAAACGATCGGTCAGAGAAAGACAAATACCATACTCGTATGTGGAATTTAAGAAACAAAACAGATGAACATGGGGAAAGAAAAGGTAGAGGCAAACCAGAAAACAAACTTTTTTTTTTTAAGAATTTATTTATTTATTTGACAGAACGAGAGAGGGAGAGAGCACAAGCAGGGGGAGCGGCAGCAGAGGGAGAGGGAGAAGCAGGCTTCCCCCCGAGCAGGGAGCCCGATGTGGGGCTCAATCCCAGGACCCCGGGATCATGACCTGAGCCAAAGGCAGACACTTAACCAACTGAGCCACCCAGGCGCCCCCAGAAAACAAACTCTTAACTATGAGAACAAACAGGATTGCTGGAGGGGAGGTGGGTGTGGGGGCATGGATCGATGGGTATTAAGGACCGACACTTGCTGTGATGAACCCTGGGTATTCTGTGTTAGTGATGAATCACTAAATTCTACGCCTGAAGCGAACATTTCACTGTATGTTAACTAACTGGAGTTTAAATAAAAAGGGGGTCATATTCTTTTTTTTTTTTTTTTTTAAGATTTTATTTATTTGACAGAGACACAGAGAGAGAGGGAACACAAGCAGGGGGAGTGGGAGAGCGAGAAGCAGGTTTCCCATGGAGCAGGGAGCCCGATGTGGGGCTCCATCCCAGGACCCTGGGATCATGACTTGAGCAGAAGGCAGATGCTTAACGACTGAGCCACCCAGGCACCCCTGGGGTCATATTCTTTATGCGACTGTGAAACTTGCTTTTCATTTTCTTTTTTTTTTTTTTTTTTAAGATTTTATTTATTTATTTGACAGGGAGAGACACAGCGAGAGAGGGAACACAAGCAGGGGGAGTGGGAGAGCAAGAAGCAGGCTTCCCGCAGAGCAGGGAGCCCGATGCGGGGCTTGATCCCAGGACCCCGGGATCATGACCTGAGCCGAAGGCAGACGCTCAACGACTGAGCCACCCAGGCACCCCTGGGGTCATATTCTTTATGCAACTGTGAAACCTGCTTTTCATTTGGCAATATGTTGTGGATATTTTCCATGTCAATAAAGTTGATCTTTAACATTTTTTTTTTAAAGATTTTATTTATTTATTTGACAGCGAGATAGAGAGCACAAGTAGGCAGAGCGGCAGGCAGAGAGAGGGAGAAGCAGGCTCTCCGCTGAGCAGGGAGCTTGATGCGGGGCTCAATCCCAGGATCCTGGGATCATGACCTGAGCTGAAGGCAGACGCTTAACCAACTGAGCCACCCAGGCTCCCGATCTTTAATATTCTTAATGTCTGTATGGCATTTTTATTAGCTGCTGGGAACTAATTTAATCACGACTTTGCTGTTGGACATTTAGGCTGTTTCCAGTTTCTTGCTTTTACAAACGATGCTGCCCTGGACATCCTTATGTGTGCAACTTTGTACACATCTTTCTTTAGGAAAAAAAAGTCCTTTAAAAAAAATCCTTTAAATGAAGTATACATTTAAAGTATTGTTACTTGGGGCGCATGGGTGGCTCAGTCGTTAAGTGTCTGCCTTCGGCTCAGGTTATGATCCCAGGGTCCTGGGATTGAGCCCCACATCGGGCTTCCTGCTCCGTGGGGAAGCCTGCTTCTCTCTCTCCCACTCCCCCTGCTTGTGTTTCCTTTCTCACTGTGTCTCTCTCTGTCAAATAAATAAAATCTTTAAAAAAAGAAAAAATAAAGTATTGTTACTTATTACCTGACTCTCCTTTAGAAACTTCTATTTAAGGGCGCCTGGGTGGCTCAGTTGGTTAAGCGACTGCCTTCGGCTCAGGTCATGATCCTGGAGTCCCGGGATCGAGTCCCGCATCGGGCTCCCTGCTCGGCGGAGAGTCTGCTTCTTCCTCTGGCCCTCTCCCCTCTCACGTGCTCTCTTTCTCTCTCTCATTCTCTCTCAAATAAATAATCTAAAAAAAAAAAAAAAGAAAGAAACTTCTATTTATTTATTTAATTTTCTCAATTTTTAATTTAAATTCCAGTTAACATAAAGAGTAATTTAGTTTCAGGTGTAGAATTTAGTGACTCATCACTTACATTCAGCACCCAGTGCTCATCACAGGTGTTCTTCTTAATACCTAACTTTTTTTTTTTTTTTAAAGATTTTATTTATTTATTTGAGAGAGAGAGACACAGCGAGAGAGGGAACACAAGCAGGGGGAGTGGGAGAGGGAGAAGCAGGCTCCCCGCAGAGCAGGGAGCCCGATGCGGGACTCGATCCCAAGACCCTGGGATCATGACCTGAGCTGAAGGCAGTCGCTTAACCAACTGAGCCACCCAGGCACCCCCTTAATACCTAACTTTTTAAAAAATATTTTATTTTTAAGTAATCTGTACCCAAGGTGGAGCTCAAACCCACAACCCTGAGGTCAAGAGTTGCATGTTCTAACAGACTGAGCCAGCCAGGCGCCCCTTCTTTAGAAACTTTGAATCAGTGTATCCCCGTACCCCCCTGCCCCCAACAGTATCTCCCATGTTTCTTTGTGAGATAATTTCTCAGTGTGGGAAACATTGACATGGTATTGATGGCATATAGATTGGGGCCATATAGCGAGACAAGAATGGAAGTCAGAACAACCTAGGCAATTCTATGAGATGATTTGTTTTTGGTTTTCCTCTTCTCTCCTTTCTGGGTCTTCCACATGGCAAGAATAGCTTATGTTATAGCCCCATATCCTAAAACAGGGACAAGATTTGAAGGTAGTCCACTGGTATAGGAAAAGAGCTTTCTCTCATGCTTGTCAGACCATTGTTGTGCCAGATATTAAGAGACAGCATGAAATGACACCACCTGTGCAGTTTCAAAAGTCACTTCACCGCTGCAGATGGTAATAGGGTGTTGTCAAAGTCTTCCCAGCAGCCAAGGGATGTGGGGAAACCACCACTGAGGAAGTGTGTCTCTCAGGCAGTGGATTTTAAAGACTTAGAATTTAACAAAAATTGGGGTCCAACAGAGAACCGCCAGCTTTATTTTTGGCAAGATACGGACTTTTTTTTTTTAAGATTTATTTTAGAGAGTGAGGGAGAGAGAGAGAGTCTTCTTTTCTTTTTTTTAGAGGGGCAGAGGGAAGAGGAGGGAGAAAAGCAGACTCCATGCTCAGTGTGAGCCCCATGCTGGGCTCGGTCTCAATCCTGAGATCATGACCTGAGCCAAAATCAAGAAATTAAGAGTCCAGCACTTAACCAACTGAGCAACCCAGGCACCCTAGGGCCTTAAGCAGACTGAGCGTGGAGCCTGATGCGGGGCTCGATCTCATGACCCTGAGATCAAGACCTGAAAGCTGAGCGCAGAGCCTGATGTGGAGCTCGATCTCATGACCCTGAGATCACGACCTGAAGACCTGAAAGTGGCTGAAACCAAGAGTCCGACGCTTTTTTTTTCCAATATTTTATTTTCTTTACAATTTTTTTTTTAAGATTTTATTTATTTGAGAGAGAGACAGAGCATGAACGGGGGGAGGAGGCAAAGGGAGAGGGAGAAGCAGACTTCCCACTGAGCAGGGAGCCTGCCGCAGGGCTTGATCCCAGGACCCTGGGATCATGACCTGAGTGGAAGGCAGACACTTAACCTACTGAGCCACCCAGGTGCCCTCAAGAGTCTGATGCTTAAGCAACTGCACAGTATGATCATTTCATTAAAATTTTTTTAGTAACAAAAAAATCGCAAGGGCAATTAAAGAGTTATCCTTAGGGAAGAAAATACTGACAACCTTTAGCATACTACATACATACTCAACACAATGCTATACTAACCTGTGTGGTTTTTTTTTAAGATTTTATTTATTTTATTTATTTATTTTTTAAAGATTTTTATTTATTTGAGAGAGAGAGAGAGCATGAGGGGGGGAGGGTCAGAGGGAGAAGCAGACTCCCTGCCGAGCAGGGAGCCTGATGTGGGACTCGATCCCGGGACTCCAGGATCATGACCTGAGCCGAAGGCAGTCGCTTAACCAACTGAGCCACCCAGGCGCCCAAAGATTTTATTTATTTGACAGAGAGAGACACAGTGAGAGAGGGAACACAAGCAGGGGTAGTAGGAGGGGGAGAAGCAGGCCTCCGCAGAGCAGGGAGCCCGATGTGGGGCTCAATCCCAGGACCCTGGGATCATGACCTGAGCTGAAGGCAGACGCTTAATGACTGAGCCACCCAGGCGCCCCTAACCTGTGTTTCTTTATCTCAGACTTATAAAACTTTTGAGCACACATCAGTGTTTGAGAACCACAGTTCTAAGGAACATAGAATCTGGTGATGACATGTAGGTGGTTAGGATAAAGGTGGCCAGGATTGAGGTGTAATTAGACTTTGGCTTGTAGAAGTCAAACTAGAAAGAATTATAGAGATGTTAGGAAAATGTTGCCAAATGATGGGTACATGGGTCATGGAGGATGGTGAAGTACAGCTCAGGATTTGAGATTGTGAGACTGTTGAGGCCATTGACAGAAAGTAAAGAAGTTGGGAGAGAGGTAGCATGACTTGGAGCCCTGGTGTTCTGAAACATTTCAGAGGGCCCAGGGACTGAGGAAGGGAGAGGACATCCCTGTGCCTGCATCATCAAGAACAATGTTAAGCTACTTTGTCTACTTTACATATGGGGTTCCAGCAAATGTTTGAAAATAGCTGATGGTTTGGGGATCAGACCGATGTGAACTCAAGTCCCTGTTTCTTCTACACTTGGGCACATTACACAATCTCTGAGCCCCTGTTTGGTAATAGCTACCTTGTGAAGTAGCTGTAAAGATTGCAAATACTATGGGGAACACAGGCCTAGTTTATAACAGTTGTTTAATACTAGCTGCTAAGAGTGCCTTGGTTTTAGAAGATGTGAAGTCTAAAATAACACACTACAATAAATGCATCGTCTTTCTTGTTCCTGGGCTTAGGAATGCCCCATTTGGTTCTCCCTTTTCTGGCTCCCTCAAACCTTGACTTCCCAGCCATGTTCTTATCCATGCTCTGAAATCATCTCTCTGTTGATTTTGGTGTAAACTGATTTGGTTCTTTCCTCCTTCTCCCCCAACAGCATCTGTGGAACCCTCCATTCTGTGGATCAGGTAAGATATGAGGGAGCCTAGAATGGGGTCTCGGGGAAGGAGAGGGGAGAGTTTCAGGGCTGGGTACTTGCATCTTGTCTCTGTCTCTAGCGCTAATGACGGTGTTCATCTTCTTTTCTTAGTACCTCAACATCAAACTAACTGACATCAGTGTTACAGACCCTGAGAAATATCCTCACATGGTGAGTTGGTGATGGTGAAGAGGAAACAAAAGCAGGACGCTCCTGGGTGGATACCTGACATTCTTTTTTTTTAAGATTTTATTTTTTTTATTTGAGAGAGAGAGCACGCACGAGAGTGAAGCACCCTGAGATCTCTATCTGAGCCAAAATCAAGAGTCAGGTGCCCAACTGACTAAGCCACCCAGGCGCCCCAGACAGTGGACAATTTTCAGGGTGTTTTCTTATTTGTCTTTCTTTCTAGTTATCAGTGAAGAACTGCTTCATCCGGGGCTCAGTGGTCCGCTATGTGCAGCTGCCGGCAGATGAGGTGGACACACAGTTGCTACAGGACGCAGCAAGGAAGGAGGCCCTGCAGCAGAAACAGTGATGATCCCTCCTCCCCTCCCTGTCCCTCTTCTGTTGGTGACCTTTCACCTCAAGTCGCAGCCCAGGACCCCCCCCTCCCGTATTTGAGGGGTTTTTGTCTTTTTTTTTTTTTTTTCCTTTAAGGGAAGAGTGGATGAGAATAATAGTGGGGAACAGCTAGCTCTCCTCTGTTGAGGAGGGGAGGATAAGTAGGCTGGGGAACTGCAAAGCCTGCCTTGTCCTCAGCACCTGCCTTTCTCACCCCTTCCCAGGATATGGTGGGAGAATCTCCTAGATCTCTCCAGGGCAGCATGTGATTCATTTTGGGGGTGGAAGGAATCTGTCCCGCATCGGGAATAAACTTATGATACACATTTGAGTTCTGGTTCTGCATGTGTTTTGGGAAGGAGCCTGGAGGGTGGGAAAGGAATGTTGAATTCATCCAAGCCCTGCTACTCTATTACCCCAGCCAAGAGTCCAGCCCAACTTCCCAGCATTGTCTGCCACTCTTCTCCCTGGTATGAACCATATAATCTCTCACCTGGGCTACACCATGTTTCTTGAACATGCTCCCACCTGTATGGCTTGCCTACGGTGGTCTGCTCGTACTGTACCCACAAGGAGTACTTGCTGCCTGTCCATCTCTGTCCTGTTAACCTGACAGTTAATGAGACACCAAAATGCATTTGGTGCTGCCGGACTGCCTCCTCAACCCAGCCAAATCGCTACACGCTTGCTGAATATAACGGATTAATACGAGTGGCATCATTTTTATTGTGGAGCGTTAGAATTGGGAATGAACCAAACTGGCTCCTTCAGCAAACAGGAGTTTCCTCTCCGCAGGAGTGCTCGGTACTAAAGGACCTTCCGGGCCGTCCAGCGTGACGCCTGCTTCTGCGGGAGGCACCGATGCTCCGGGAGCAGGCTGGGCGCCCCTGGGGTCCTCGGCCGGCAGCGCCCGGCCCGCGGGTTCCCGGGCTGCCCGCTGGGTGCCGCCCTCCCGCCCGGCCCGCCCGAGGACCCGCGCGGGGTGCCCGCGGTGGCGCCTGACGGGAGCGCGGTCCCGGGAGCGTCCTCCGCTCCTGTGCCCGCGCCCCGCGCCCCGCGCCGTCCCTCGTGAGCGCGGCCGGCGGCGGGCGGCGCGGCCCCGGGCGGATGTCGAGCAGGACAGCCCCCGCCCGCGCAGGCGGAGCACGGCCGCCCGCGCCAGGACCCGCGGGCCCGGAAACGCTCGTTGTCACAAAGGGGGGGAAACACGTGGGCGCCCACGGCCCGGCGGCGGTCGCAGGGAGCTGGGGTCGCCTCGAGAACCGCCCACCGTCCCCGCCCGGCCGAGTCCTCGGCTCCGGCCGTCAGGCCGGTCCACCTTCGGCCGGCCTCCGGCCGCGAGGTGGCTGTCCGGCTCGGCGTGACCACCTCCCGCCAGTACGTACCTGCGGCCCGAGCCCGCGTCCTCCCGGACGCCGAGGGGCTGGCTGCCCCGAGCCTCCCGCAGTCCCCGAGCACGCGCGATCATGGGGAGTCTCCCATCGGCACTGCCACTGCGAGAGCCGGGCCCTTGGCTCTTAAGGCCGGGTCAGACCTCCAGCCCTGGGGGTCCCAGACGCCTGCGGTACAGGAGTCCCCACGGGGTCCCCTCTGTTCTCCCAGTAGGACGCCTCTGCCCTCCCCTCAGTCATCCCCTGTCTCTCTTGCTCCTTAGGTTTTCTTCCACCTCGTTCGGACCCCCTGCGTAACCATGTCCATCCTGTATGTCTCCCCTCACCCCGACGCCTTCCCCAGCCTGCGTGCCCTTATAGCGGCGCGCTATGGGGAGGCTGGGGAGGGGCCGGGCTGGGGAGGAGCCCACCCCCGAATCTGTCTCCAGCCGCCTCCGACCAGCAGGACTCCCTTTCCCCCACCCCGCCTGCCCGCCCTGGAGCAGGGGCCCGGTGGGCTCTGGGTGTGGGGGGCCACCGCTGTGGCCCAGCTGCTGTGGCCGGCAGGGCTGGGGGGCCCTGGCGGTAGCCGGGCCGCCGTTCTGGTCCAACAGTGGGTCAGTTATGCCGACACGGAGCTAATACCAGCTGCCTGTGGAGCAACGCTGCCGGCCTTGGGACTCCGGAGCTCTGCCCAGGACCCCCAGGTGAGTGGGAAGAAGAAGGGAAGAAGGAAGAGGGGGGAATTTAGAAGAAAGAGTAGAATGGGTAATGAGACTGGAAAACAGGGTGTCAGAGGTGGAGAAACACTGATCACGTCCCAGATTGCCACCTGGTATGATAACCTTGGGCAGGTTTCTTAAACTGAGTCTTGGTCTTCCCATCTTTGAGAGTGGAAATTTCCATGTTGAGAAACACTTTTGAGAAGATGGAAAGAGGTGTGCAGAGTATAGTCTGGTGCCAGGTGTTTTAAAGTCTGGGAGTAGAAGTTTGAGGAGTCTGAAGCTGATGAACGTGGTTACTGAGAAACATAGGAAAAGACTGGAGAAAAGAGAGGCAAGTGGGGTGGGAGAGGTAGCTGTGCTTGGGGAGATGGAGAAGGCAAATGAGGAGGGGAAGGAAGGGAGAGGAGAGAGAACTAGACCAGACTGAGGCTGTGAGTCCAAAGCAGACCACCTCCTTGCAGTTTTGAGCATATGGTTGATCCTTAGTATTTCTTCAGTGAATGAATGAGTGAATGAGATGAATATGTGACCCTGGCTTGCTCCCTCAATTTCCTGCTTACTCTGTCTACCATAGAAGTCCCCTCTCTGGAATGCCTTGTCCCCCTCAGCCTGATTTATTTTTCTTCATAACACTTAACGGAGAAAAATAGGGTAATGCATTCTGTATTTGCACGTTTACTGTCTCCCCCACTGGAGTGTAAGTAAACTCCACCAGTCAGGGTCTGTGCTTGTCTCCACATTCTTTATAGAGAAGTGCCCGACCTATAGTAGGTGCTTAATAAATAAATACTTCTTGAAGCAATTACTGGGTTGTCTTATGCAATCTTTAACTTCTGATGTTTAATATATTGCTTCTGGTATATAGTATGTTCAGCAGGAATTTATTGAACAAAGGGGAATACGTTTGTTATGATTCTTTGGCCTCAGGTGGTGATTTGTGGGAGCAGAAGGGGGCCACATGGATTGGGTGGGGATAGGGGTGGGGATTGAGGTGGGCCAAACCTTGTCTCATAGCCCTTCCCTGTCCTGCTAGGCTGCCCTGGGGGCCCTGGGTCGGGCCCTGAGCCCCTTGGAAGAGTGGCTTCGGCTGCACACCTACCTGGCCGGGGAGGCCCCCACACTGGCTGACCTGGCGGCTGTCACAGCCTTGCTGCTGCCTTTCCGTTACGTGAGTTGGTGGGGCCTGGGGAAGAACGAGGGCAGCTGTCCTCAGACCTCGCGAGAGGGTGACTAAGGGTGTTTCATTTCGTTTCACCCTCCCAGGTCCTGGAGCCCTCTGCACGCCGGGTCTGGGGCAATGTGACGCGCTGGTTCATCACGTGTGTCCAGCAGCCAGAATTCCGGGCGGTGCTGGGAGAGGTGGTTCTGCACTCGGGGGCCAGACCCCTCTCTCAACAGCCAGGTGAGGAGGGCTTGCTCTGGGCCTTCTCTGTAGCTCACTTTCCTTTTTTCTCTTAGGAATGGCGGAGTCACTTGGGAAGGGGCCTGAGGGAGGGTGAGGTGGGAAACCAGCACGGGGAGCCCTGGGGCGGCTGGAATGGCCCATCTGAAGCATCATGGCATGGTTAACAGAGAGGGTCCCCAGTGGGCTAAGTTGGCATTTCTGTGCCTCTCTCTAGGCCCTGAGGTCCCTGCACCCCCAAAGACAGCTACTCAACTCAAGAAAGAGGCAAAGAAACGGGAGAAGCTAGAGAAATTCCAACAGAAGCAGAAGACCCAGCAGCAGCAACCACCCCCAGCAGAGGTGAGAAGCTAAGGGTCGAACTGGAAGGTTGGCACTGTGGTGGGTGGATGATCTCTCTGCCTATAACTTTTCCCTCCCGAGCAGAAGAAACCAAAACCAGAGAAGAAGGGGAAACGGGATCCTGGGGTCATTACCTATGACCTCCCAACCCCAGCTGGGGAAAAGAAAGGTACGAGAAAGGGGAAAGGACCCCCACCCTTCATTTCCACCCTCCTCAGCTGCTGCTTTCCTTGATGTTACCCCTTCCTGCTCTGCCCTTGCTCCCACCACTTGGCTTTGGAGGGTTTGCACAGCCCCCCAGATTTTCCAATGCCTGTCTGTCCTATGATGTGAGCCACAGAGGCCCGGCGCCTCTGCTGGCCCATTGTCCCAGCTGCTCCCAGCCTCAGGCACTGACCCTCCCCATCTCTCCCCCAGATGTCAGTGGCACCATGCCCGACTCCTACAGCCCTCAGTATGTGGAAGCTGCCTGGTACCCTTGGTGGGAGCAGCAGGGCTTCTTCAAGCCAGAGTATGGAGTGAGTGGGCTCTGCTGCCCAGGCCTGGAGGACATGTGGGAGGGCAACAGCAGGGCCGAGGGACCCATTGCCTGGGAGGGGGCCGGGAGAGGGATGGGAGGCCTTAGCATGTGCCATTCTTCCTCCCCCATCAGCGTTCCAGTGTGTCCGCCCCAAATCCCCGGGGAATCTTCATGATGTGCATCCCACCCCCCAATGTGACAGGCTCCCTGCACCTGGGCCATGCACTCACCAATGCCATCCAGGACTCCCTGACCCGATGGTAAGCTCCTGTTCTCTCTTTCCACCGGTTCCCTCTGCCTTCTCTGCCTCCTCTCTCTAGTCCTCCCTTCTCTTCCTGAACAGTCCTCTGTCCTCTCTTCTTCCATATGGGCCCTCAGCTGTGCCCCCTGGTGGTGATCCGCTTCTGTCCCCATCAAGTCCCATATCCCATCAGGAGCGCCCTCCCTTAGGCAACCAGCACCGCTGGCTTGCAGACTCTCCTCTCCCTTGTCTTGCTACTAAAAATAACTTTATTTTGAGTTAAACAAGAAATAT